TTGGTTATTTAAATTTTCACATGCCATTGACTTTTAAGTACAGCTGATATTTACCTGACAGAATCAGGAGTTCAATTATCTCTGCATCTCCCAGAAACGCAGCCACATGAAGTGGGGTTCGCTTCTCAGAATCCTGAAACGATGGCAAAGATAAACAAGTCAGTACCGGCCAGAGGCTGCCTTTGGTAGATACAGTATGACATGTCACTTACTCTGAGGTTAATGCTTATGAGATCTGAGAGTGAAGGCCAAACATCTATTCAGATGAGTGCTGGTTACACATTTCTCTCAGCATCTCCCCCAATCACATGAAGGAAAGATCCCCATTTCTGTGTCTGTATGTTATATTTGCCTCATTGCTCCTTTTATTAGAGCCCAGCTCAGGTCAAGGATGGCCCATCATGCACTGGATGATGAAATAATTTTTCTTTAAATCTTCAGTATGGGTAAAAAAATTTCAGTGCTTCTACCTATCTTAACAGTACAGTTCAAAGCTTTCAATGACTTATTTTCTCTCTAAGAAAACTTAAACTATTCACAAGGACATGAAATATAAATACAATTATTCTCCATTACTGTTGCTTAGACCACTGCCCATTCATGTAATACTTATTGAATGCCTACTGTGTGTCAGGAACCAGATTCTGGGGACAGAGGGGTAACTATGAGTTCATGCCTTCATGAAACTTACAATCAAGTGGGAAGGCTGATAATAGTCATGTAACCCAGTGACACATAAAATCCTTTCAGATGGTGATGAAGACTATAACAAAATTAAAACAGGATGAGATCCAGTGACTGTGAAGATGAGAATAAGATTCCTTAGGGTGGTTGCATAAGGCCTTTCTGAGGGTGCTGACACTGAAGCTAAGAGCTGAGGCAGATATTACTAACTCTGCTGTACAGATGAGAAACTGTGGCTCAAATAAATTAAGAAATGTCCTCAAGACTCCACAGGTATAGAGCAGAGTCAAGATTAGACCTTCACCTGTCAGACTCCAGACTAAGTCCTTTGCATGGCATTCAACATATTGTGCTGTGAGGCAGCATGATAACAGGCAGGGGAAAAAAATACTGCTTCCCCATCTGTAAATTGGAGATAATGCCTCCCTAGAGGACTGATAAGAGCATTCAAGACAATGTAAGTAAGTAAGTCCTCAGCAGGTATGAGGCTTGGTACACACGCACCAAGTGCTCCGTGATGGCCACTATTGTCACAGCACAGACGGTTGTGGGGTACTGCAACCCAGAAGGACCCTATGGGAACTTCCCCATCCGTGTCCTCTACCTGCCTCGTTTGTAGAAAAACTTTAGCTTCCAAGGCTTTCCCCTAGTTCCAAAGAACACATTTAAGCAAAATGAGAAAATGCACAAAGAAAAGAGAAAATAACACAGACATTAAACAAAATCTAGGACCTTGAGTTCCTCCTCGAGGGCTATAGATAATATCCTGAGCCACATCCTTGAGTTGTTTTGCAGATACTGAAACCTCCACCAAGAGGAAGAAGTTAACTGCGTGCTGACATTAGCATGTAGATCCCAGACAAGTTGGAACCAGAATGTTGAGGATGTTGACACCCAATTATCTCACCACCAACCAACCAGAAGAATGGCCACAAGCTGATCATATACCCCCAAGCCCTCTCCATCACCCTGACTTTAAAAACCTTTCCCTCAAAGCCATCAAGGAGTTCAGGAGTTTTGAGCATCGGTCGCTCATACTCCTTGCTTGGCCTTGCAATAAACGCTGCATGTTCCTTCACCACAATCTGGTATCAGGAGATTGTCTCTACTGCACGCAGGTGAGCAGATCCAAGTTTGGTTCAGTAACATCTTCCCTCGAAGACTGAGAACTCTCGTAGGGTACAGAACTCTCTCCCTAGAGCAGCACCATCCTAGGTGAAGAAGTGAAGTGAAGTGAAAGGCACTCAGCCATGTCCAACTCATTGCAACCCCAAGGACTATACAGTCCATGGAATTCTCCAGGCCAGAATACGGGAGTGGGTAGCCTTTCCCTTCTCCAGGGGATCTTCCCAACCCAGGGATCGAACCCAGGTCTCCTGCATTGCAGGCCGATTCTTTACCAGCTTAGCCACAGGGAAAGCCCATACTAGGTGCTCAGCGTAAACTGACCAAACTCGACTAGTCTACATGCATGGCCTCTGGTACAAACTTTCAGCAGCTATCCTAAAACAAAGGTAACCAAAGCCTATGCACCGTCTTGGCAGTTTCTCCAGAAACTGGGATGCATTTTAGTTTTGACACTTGTAGAGTCACTATTGACTTTAATCATCATTCCTATCATTGCTTGATTAGACAATACACCTAACAGTCCGTGAAGCCCAAGGATGTTATTTTGTTTTCTGACAGTTCAGGTCCTCTGCTCTAAGTCTCTTTCAGACTAGAGCTTTTAGGCATTTCATGACTCACTAATATCTAAAACAGATGGTAGGCAGGGAACATGACAAGAACTATCTTCAAGCCAGCCTATTTGTTAGGAGGTCTGGTAAATAGGTTTTATGAAGAGATTAACTAACTTTTCAGTGGATCAAAAGAAGGGGTTTGAATTAACTGGGAATTTATGTCTCTGTATGCTGCAGGCAATCACTACATATAAGAGGAAGTAGGGCAGTCACATTACTATTCCATATTCGATAATGATATGCCTTAGAAAAGGACTTCCCTGGTAGCTTAGTCAGTTAAGAGACTGCCTGCAATGCAGGAGACCCAGGTTCAATCCCCGGGTTGGGAACACCCCCTGGAGAGGGAAATGGCAACCCACTACAGTATTCTTGCCTGGAGAAACCCAGCAGGCTACGGCCAATGGAATCACAGAGCCGGACAGGACTGAGCCACTAACACTATTGTAACACTATGGCTTAGAAAATTCAGTAAGATTTAAAACCCTCTTATTGCCATATCATCCTTTCTGTGAAAATAAAGATTCAATGTTTAGAAGCATATTTGCTTATTTGAGAATCAAGTATTAATTTATACAGTGAACTATACAAATATCTGAGATCAGACTTTCACAAATGTCTTCTATTTCTTCTATTATGTTTCTACAAGCACTTTCCTTTTTAGCTTTATATTCTCTTTGAATCCTCTATAATAACTGAAAAGTATCTATTGGGCCTTAGAATAAAAGTTAGCAGGCTACGGCCAATGGAATCACAGAGCCGGACAGGACTGAGCCACTAACACTATTGTAACACTATGGCTTAGAAAATTCAGTAAGATTTAAAACCCTCTTATTGCCATATCATCCTTTCTGTGAAAATAAAGATTCAATGTTTAGAAGCATATTTGCTTATTTGAGAATCAAGTATTAATTTATACAGTGAACTATACAAATACCTGAGATCAGACTTTCACAAATGTCTTCTATTTCTTCTATTATGTTTCTACAAGCACTTTCCTTTTTAGCTTTATATTCTCTTTGAATCCTCTATAATAACTGAAAAGTATCTCTTGGGCCTTAGAATAAAAGTTAAATAATTATATGTTCGTTCATAAGTTGAACTGGTTCCAGAGTTTGGTTCAACAAATTAAACCTCACCTAAGTGATTTAAACAAGGACTAACCCAACCCAACTTATGACTTTAATTTGACCTGAAGCAAAGTCAATGCTGTTTGAGAACTTGGCCTCAAATAAAAGCCAAAAAAATACCAATATTCAAATCTGGTTAGTCCATCATTATGTAACAAGCTTTACTCATCCTGTAGGTCCTTTTATGACATGACTTGTTCAAATTGAAGTTTTTATAAGATGGGTGTGTTACATGAGATCACGCTGTAAAAACTCCTTGGTTATAAATCCTATTTTTCCTCCTAATATGCATTTAAAGGTTTCCGACAGCTTTCTGAACACCTATGCCACCTGATACTCTCCCTCATGACAGGCCATGAACAGGCAAAGCAGAGAAGATCTATATTCAGGCAGCAGTTCTTCAGTTCACCGAAGCAGCAGAATCATATAAACAATTTCATGTGCTATTAAGACCTTACCTAAAATAACAATGCATTACTACTATTGACCAAGGGTTGCCAACACCTGCTCTCAAGCAAGGAACCTGAGTGATGTACAGGATCATAAGTTGAGAGGTGAATAACAGAGTCACATCCATCACCATACCCAACGAGGTGAAACCAGCCGGAAGCTGCAGTTCATCCTCTAAGTAGAGGTCCACTCTGCTTGCCATCAGCTAGATAAATGGACTGGGAGATGCAACAGCAGAAGGAGAGGGAAGGCTCCGGGAAAAGAAAACGCTAATAATAATAATACTAGGAAAAATAGGTCACTGGCCAATGATATCCCTATGGCATCTAAAAGAAGAAACAAAATCCATCTGGTACTGAGGCAGGGCTTTTAGATTTTTTTCAGAATGCCTTCTCATCTATTCTATTATTTAAATCTTATAACATCCGTATCAGGGGAGACACATCTTTCAGAACTTTGTTGTTAAGTCTCGCTAACACCATTTAAAAGGTATGAACTCTGAGCCCTTGGATATGTTGTATGACTTGCCCAATACAGTAAACTGATGTCAAAGAATTGGGGGTCCTGGCTACCAACTTGAAACTTTTTTCTTTATAAATGGAAGCAAGTGATGACCAAGCAAGATGGATGGGACAGGGGAGGGAGGCTCAAGAGGGATGGCATATATATATTTATATATAAAATTATGACAGATTTGCACTGCTGATGGCAGAAACCAACACAACTGTAAAGCAATTATTATCCAATTAAAAACAGATTATAGGATTTTAGTTTGTTAGTCTCTGTTCCAGATGTCTAGGAAACATCAGCAGTCATCCTTTTGTGTCCTATGGGTCATAGCCCACACACAGAAACCTTGCTTACAAAATGTGGGGTGTACATCTCCCAAGAGCAAAAGATCTGAACAATGAGAAGGAATTTAAACATAAAATTCAAAACCAAACAAAAAAAAATGGAAGCAAGAACATCATCATAGAAGCTGCCTTGATAGTCAAAAAAAACTTTCCCTTATAATCCCTAAGAAATTCTGGGGGAAATGTGACAAACATATAGTAAACTTTCACTTAAATGAACTTGCAAAAAGTTAAATGATCTTGGGCAGGACATAAGGAATAAACAGAACCAAAGCTGGA